AAATTCGTTCAATCTCGTGCGAGCATTGTTTAACGTAAATGCAAGACTTGTTTTTTTCTTTAAGTTCTTAGCAGATTAAAATGCGTACCAAAACGGTGGTTGCGATGGTGGAGTTCAATTGTGCTCGTAGTGCAGAAGACCGTGCACTGCTGCAGCCACGCGGTGTGACGAAGATATTATAATACGTTTTACCAACCCTCAGGGTGTTTCTCACGTTCGTCTCGAGAAGCAAATTCCGTCGGGTCCCGCATTTAATGACCAACTACAACGTTAAATCAGTTCTCTTTGATGAACTGAATGTAAGGGCGCTGACGAGCTGGTGTACATTGAACACAACAAAAACCTCGAGACCGCGGGTAAAAAGCGACACAAACACTGAAAGGTGACGACCTGCTTCTGTATAAACTCTTGTGAGGCGGATGTTATTTTATTATCGGAGACACGGCTTAATTTTGATATTATTAACAGTGAAATACTGCCAGATAATCCCGACTTTAATATTTGCCGATGTGGCAGAGGAGACAGCCGAGGGTGCTGTGTTCTTGTCGTCATCAACAGAGGTATTCCAAGTCAGGCGCTATTTGTTTACGGTGTCTTCGGGACAGTTGGGGTTCTTTCTAAGTCCTGTTTGGGATCGTTTGTTGGGTTTGCTCTCGTCCACCCGATGCTTATCCCAATTTTTGCAATGCCCCTGAGGGTATTTCTAAAAAGTACATAAATAGATAAAAATTTCTTAGTTTATTCGACCTGCATTTGTCGATTCTAAATCGCGGTTACATATATATACATATGGCTTGCGCTTGACATCGTCGCACTATATGTTGTCGGTGCAATCCTACTTGTTCTTGTCGAAAAAAGAAAAGATAAAAAAAAATCGATAGTGCAAAACGTACGCTGCAGAAGGTACGCGCTCAGCAGCAATGCCAACAGAGTAGCAGCTGCTGGGACGTCAGTGCTAGTCATCTATACGGGTAGAAATTGAGGGAGAGGAGGCAACTCCTAGAGCTTTAAACTTGTCAAACATAAAGTTGGAGGCGAAAGTTCGCGGAGCGCGCCGATTGGACGCCGGCGACAAAAGCGCGAAAGCATCGATGTGATCGTCCAATAGGAGCGCTCCGAGAACTTCGGCCCCAACTTTGTGTTTGACAAGTTTAGAGCCCCTAGACAACAAGGCCGTAGCGCTGATAGAGATGGCGTCACTAGGAGAAGGCCAACGCTGGACGCAGATTGGACACGACGACGTTCGACTCAAACTTGACTCGAAGTCGAGCACTGACGCGGCACTCGTTTCCAATCAGTGTCCAGCGGTGGCCTTCCCTGGCTACGCAAAAATGTCAGCACTACGGCGTTGTTTTTTGGGCTGTGTTGGCTGTGGTTGGTATAGTGGAGAGTGGCCTTCGTCTCTATACTCTCTGGTCGAAAGCAAACGCCGAGCGCGGGACGCCGGCGTTCGCCGTTCAAACGCGTTCGAACAGTGAGTATAGGGCCGACGGGAGATCGCTTTGCGTCTATCCGTCATTCCAAACACTGCTTGGTGTTCTGACGTCCTCTGGTGACGTCATTACCTTGCGATCAACAAGTTCGACGGTGTTTGTAATGAGCATGGGGGAAGCTTGAATTGACTGCGATCTAAAACCAACACTGTTAACACCGTCAAAATCGAAGCTCTTCCATTACTATTTTTTTCCGTCGGTGACAAATCCTTGAGCTGACGTCGTATACAGCATTTGGCCAATCGTGGAAGGCCGACCGCAGCATCGCTTTCGCCTCGCGCACGCCGCCATAACAAAAAGGCTGTCATATGGAGGATTGTTCTATACGCCTCGCAAGTGGGCTCATTTTCGTCATCTGCGCACGAGAAAGGAAGTAGCGGTGACGTCAGAACGCCGAGCCCTGATTGGCTGATCGCGACCCCCTATCCGAGCGTCGTCTGCTCCTTTGCAACGTCGTCGGTTCGCAACGTCGTCTCCGTCTGTCTTACCTTTCCTGCGACTTTCGGAAGTGCAGGTCTTTACGAGCGAGCTCGACTTCGCCTTTCAGTGAGGGCAGACGAAATAACTCGAGCGGTACGTTGTTTTTGTCTAACAACTAGCAGACGCGCATCAAGGAGGGAAGTCAAATGACTCACTGGCGAGGTGTCCCGAGGCGCCGAGGTTTGTTTGCTAAGAACCGAGAGTGAGGGTGTTTAGTGTCCGCAAGTTCCCTCCCAAATACTTTTTCCCTCCTTTCGTGTGCGGCGAGACTCCTCACTCTGTAACGGCGTCGGCGGGTTGACGCAGTTAACGTCGTCTGCTTTACGTTTGCTAGTCAAAGCGATGGCTGATTTACCTTTCCTGCGTCTGTCGGAGATTCACCGCTTTTTCACCGGCGAGAGTCACCGTTGCCTCGGAAAACAAGGAGATGACAAGAGGAAGAGATTGACCTCTTAATCTAAAATTGAGGTCAGCGATCAAAGTATAAGACGGGAAGGGTTCACAAGGGTCGCGCGGGCATATTCCATTCAGCACGCCAGCCGGCCGTGTGCAGACAGTCGCCGAGTCGGAGTGCCCGCTAGGCCTATCTGCCGTGCTCGCTTGGTCGTTGTCAATGGAATCATGGCCGTTGGAGCTTTTCCCGGGTGTCTGTAGATCCAGCGTTCTTGTTCGTGTTCGTCGTGGTCTGTTTCAAGTACTTTTTACTTTTTTCTTGCTGCTTGAAGTCGGGACGCGTGAGAAGCGCACGTAGAAAAATAAACGTCCGTTGGTCGTCGCGACCGCGACGCTGTCGGCCATGCTGATTTGATCGTAAGAACTGCGTAAGACAGCTTCGGAGCTGTCGTAGGATTTCGTCGTAACCTGCGCAAAACTTACGAAAATTTCGTTTCGTGAATACGAATTTGCTCTTACGTTTTGTCTTACGCATATTTTTGGCGTAAGATCGTTTCGTGAACCTGGCCTCTGCACTTTCGAAAGTCGCAGGAGAGGTAAGACAGACGCAGACGACGTTGCGAGCAGACGACGTTGCAAAGGAGCAGATGACGCTCAGATAGGGGGTCGCGATCAGCCAATCAGGGCTCGGCGTTTTGACGTCATCGCTACCCCCTGCGCAAGGAGCAGACGAACTTGCCCTCCGCATAGAACAGCAGGGTCTGGGCGACGCGTACGTAATTCTAATTTTGTGAAATACGAGTGATTAAAATACCTCATACTTCCACGCCAGGAAAGTGTAAGCAAACACATCGAGGCGCTATGTACTTCGTTTCACCTTTAAGTCCAGACACCGCGGTCTCTACGAGCTGATGGCAGGCAGCGTCAAAAGCGCACCATGCATGATGTCCGTCGTGTTTTTGGACTTGTTCTATCGTCGCTGAACCAATCATAAACAAAAAAAAAAAGAAAAATACTAAGTGGCTCGCGCTTTTGATACGGCTTGATTGGTCCCATTAGCTTGTATCTGCACTTAAAGGGAAGCTGAAACACTTCTTGAAAAAAACGAGTTAGAGGTGAAATCTGGTGTATTTTTATCCCGTGAACCTGAATATCACTTTTGTTTTCCCTGAAGATGCAACTAAAAGCGAGAAAAAGCGAAAAAACATTCGACCAGTCGTGACGTCATACTAGGATCTTCGGGCCGCCAAGCGCGTGTCGCTCGTGTGGGCAGCGCGTGCAACGGCAAGCTTGCCAGGTATATTTCCCCGCACTGACACCAGTCGTGACGTCTCTTTCTGACCTTCCTGAAAATAGCAAGAGTGCGCGTGCATAGCTTTGACAGGCGCTGCAGATGCGCGAGAGCAGAGATTCCGAAAGCTCCTAGTGTGACGTCACGCCCCGGGAAGCAGGGGCTTCGGCGGTACTTTAAAAATTAATTTCTGAAGCCTCCGTCCACCAAATTGAAAAATAATCTTGATATTCCTGATCCTGGAGGTAGAATGAAGGCCATTGAAATGTTTTTTCTCAAATAGAGAACCGCTTCAGTTTCCCTTTAAGCTGAAACGAAGTATAGGGATCGCGATCCTCTCACCCCGATACCGCCATGGCTGAAAGTTGCGAACGATTTCAGTCACACACACTGACAGCTTATAAACGTATGGCCCCACCCGGCAAACACACCCAATGAGTGTACGAGAACCAGCATTATAAGTCGCTTCTCTAGAATACACCTGCATGGCGCAGGACTACACTCTTTTATTTAATTTGCCGTGCGACGAAGTGTACGAATAAAAGAAGGAAAAAAACGCCGCTGACGATTCTCGAGCACATCTTATTATATGTCTTCGCAACCAATCAGATTGCGGCATTAGTTGATCAGAAGAACGAATCACGACGAAGGAGAATGCACCTTAAAATCGATCGCATCGACGTTTTTTTCGGTTCGCAAGCAATGTCATATGCGTATAAGCGCTGGTCGTTGTGTAGTACACCTTTGTACAGGAACGGGACCAACGGCAGCTTCTTCGTCTTCTGTTTCACGTGATATTATTATTATTATTATTATTATTTTACTACTTGGCGACGTTTTGAATATGGTGACGTACTTTTCGCGATTCCGAGATGCGTTGCTCGTTTCCCCGCGCCGCTCGCGCTCGTTCTCTGTCATTTGCTATTGTGGTTTATCGAGCGACAGAGATGTTAGCTAGGGCTTATTTGCCCCCGCTTGCTACTCTGTTTCTGTTATAGGTGGCGACCGTCTTGAGCGTCCTTCTGCGTCTACAGTGTTTGCAGCAAACCAGTTGATTCTAAGTAATCCATCAGTATTTTAAACGCCCGTGCTTGGTTTCGAGTGTTGGTGCAGGGTCCTAGCACCTTTCGCATGGTCATTGGTTGGTCATCCAGAAGATTCAGTTCCTTAGTGAGGATCACACGCTCTTTCTCGTATCGTTTGCAGTTAACGAGTACATGTTCGATTGTGTCCTCGGTATGGCAAGTCGCGCAGTTTGGGGAATCTCGCTGCTTGTACTTGTAGCGTTGGCGGCCAGTCCGGGCGACCCCAAGGCGAAGTTTGAAATAAACTGAAAGTTGGTTTCAAGGTGTGCTCCAAGGGATTCTTCTTTGAAGCTTGGGGTCCAAGTTGTACAGGTGATAAGGGTGGCCCTCAGGTTGCTTCCAGATTTTTACCGTTATCTGGTTTGCGATACCAGAGAGAAAGCTCTTCACATCAGCTTTTGCAACGGGAATGGCCTCTGTTCTTTCGTTTTTGTGCGCCCGAGCTGCTGTCATATCGGCTATCTCGTTGCCAGTGGCGCCAACATGTCCTGGGACCCATTGATATGTAATGGCATACCCTTTTTTGTGCAGGGTGTCGTTCTTATCGAGTATTGCCTGTTGCAGGCCCGGGTATGCGCACTTTTTGGCTGTGGTTGATAGGGATGCCAACGCCGATTTTGAGTCCGTGCACACCACATAGCTCTTCGGAGAAGTTGCCTCTATGTAGTGTAACGCTTGCAAGATGCCGTGGAGCTCGGATGCCGTGAACGATGTACGGTGGGAGAGTTTGTACCCTTCCGAAATGCTCGCATCCGGCACGTAGATTGCAGAGGACGAGCTCATCGCAGTGCTTGATCCATCTGTGTATATCTGGATGGCGTTCTTGTAGTTCTCTTCAGTGTAATATTGAGTGAGGAGCCGCTTCACAAAACCGAAGGCTGTGCCTTTGCCTACGTCCGGTATTGAGAGGTGGACCGTTGGGGTCAGCCATGTCCAAGGTGCTCGCTGGGGGTGACGATACGGTGCAGCGTTCGCCGGAAAGGCTTCGACGTGGTTTCTTACCATTTCTGCAAAACTCGACGCTGGACGTGAGATGTGCAGGCCCGCCAGATGATGCGCTTCGTGCTGGGTTGAAAAACGACTGTAGTGCCGGAGGGTCTCTTAAACACGGAGCGCCTCTATACGTTGTTCGTGCGCTTCTGCTATAACTCCTGCAGAAGGCGACGCTCGGGGCACTCCCAGCACAACGCGGAGGCTTCTTGCCTGCTGTGCTAAGAGTCCCCGTTGGGTTGTTGAACTGACCCGGTGCAGTAAAGGCAGACTGTAGCGCAGACTTCCCAGTACCATTGATTTGTGTAGCTGCATGAGGGCGGCTGAATTTCCCCATGTCGAGCCAGAAAGGCACCGCATGATGTTCACGTACGAGTTGACCTTGCATCGAAGTCTGTTCATTTCAGGTGCCCAGGTGAGCCGCCTGTCGATAACTATATCAAGAAAGGTGTGCTTGTTGACGTAGGGGATAATTTGCTCTCCTATGTGTATGGGAAAGCGCTTGCAACTTCGCCTGGTGAAAGCCATAGCGACGCATTTGCTGGGCGACGGGTGTAGGCCTCTGCAGTTCAGGTATCTTTCGATTCTGCTGAGTGCTTTCTGGAGCCTTCCACAGATTACTGCGCGGTTCGGGCCCGAAGACCAGATACACAGATCATCGGCATACATCGACATCTTTACATGCTCTGAAAGTTCCTGCGGCAGGTGGGCCAGGACGACGTTAAAGAGTGCGGGGTTCAAGACGCCCCCCTGTGGAACGCCGGCAGTTACGGAGAAACAGTCACTGTTTCCTTCTGTCGTGGTTAGGTAAATTGTGCGTCCTTGAAGGTAATCCAAGATCCAGTTGTAGATTCGACCACGTGCGCGAAGTTTAATGAGGTACGTGAGTATTGCTGAGTGTTCCACGCTGTCGAAAGCAGCCTTTATGTCCAGAAACACAGCTACCGTGGAGAGACGACGGCTCCGATGCTGTTCAACATCTGAGACTAAGTCCACGACGCCGTCAATGGCAGAACGGCCACGACGAAACCCCGACATGCACTCGGGGAAGACCCCTGTCTTTTCGAGGTACCAGAGTAGACGGTTTAGGATCATACGCTCCATCAACTTCCCAATGCAGCTGGAGAGCGCAATGGGGCGGTATGACTCAAGCGACAGAGGCGATTTTCCTGCTTTCAGGATGGGAACGAGGCGAGACTTCTTCCATGACTCTGGGAGCTGTCCTGTGTTCCAACTGACGTTGTATTGTTGTAGGAGGGCACCGAGGGCGAGGGGTCCCAGATTGGCTAGTGCCTTGTATGTAACACCATCCGGGCCTGGAGAGGTGTGTTGGGAACACTCCTGTAGAGCACTTTTGAGTTCCCTCATGGTAAAAGCCTCGTCTAGCTCCGGTAGCACGGCGGCTTCTGTGGTTTTCTCGTGTGACAAACCGCTCGCAGGGCGCCGCTGCTGGAGCTGGCAGAACGCATTGGCTGCAGCATGCTCAGTGATTCCTTTTGAAAGTGCCAAGGCTCGGAAGGGAAACTTCTGCCTGGGTGTTTTCTTGAGCCCTCGGGTCACGTTCCATAGTCTCGTTGACGGCTTGTGAGGGTCCATTGAATTGCAGGTACCTCTCCAACGTCGCATAGAGAGTCGAATTAAGTGTCGTCGTACGACCGCCAGGGTTCGTCGTGCTTCCGCCCAGTCCGCGGCTTTACCAGTTCGCCTGGCACGTCGTTCAGCACGACGTCGAACTGCTGGCAACTTCTCATAATCTGCGTCGATCCCAAGGTATTTGGCGGGGAGTTTCACCATTTTCGTGCTGGATGTCAATGATGATGTTATGCGGGCAGTGATGCCTGTATCTCCTGCACCATTTTTATATGCTGACTCTGTTTCGTTTCTGAAACGACTCCAGTCTGTATATGGAATTGTCCGGTTGTGCCTTCTTCCTCCAAAGCCGTCGAGGGAGACGAGTAGAGGCAGGTGGTCGCTGCCCCTGGTGTCAAGATCTGTCATCCATCGGACGGGAAGACGGAAGTCCTCAGAAACCGCAGTGATATCAATGGCGCTCCTGAGCTCTCCCCGAAGAAAAGTGTATGTTCCATCATTAAGGACCCCCATGTTCCAATAGCTGAAAATGTCTTCTAGGAGTCTTCCTCTCGTATCAAGTTTATCTCCGCCCCACAGCGGGTTGTGTGCGTTGACATCGCCACAAAGAAGAAAAGGTCCATCAATTTCCTGCAGCACGGCCTGAATTTCCTCGCCAGAGAAATGCACTCTTGGCGGAATGTAGATCGCGATGATTGTGAAGGATATGTTTTTGTACTGAAGCTTGAGACACACGTATTCGGCTGTAGTGTGAAGGGAGACTTCTTTCCTGGCAACTGAAATGTCTGTGCGCACACACACGGTGATACGACTTTTTTCCCGATCAGGAACGGAATGATCGCACTCGTATCCGGAGATGCGGAGCGTTGAAGATGCATTTGATTCGATAAAGATTGCAATGGGCGTTTCATACTTTCGTACAAAGTCCCGTATATCAGGCAGTTTGTTTCGTAGGCCGCGCACGTTCCACTGGAGCACAGTGCATTCGCGGTATATTTGATGCATAAAAAGTTCTTCTACAGAGTCTAGACGTCGTTCACTAGCGTGCTCTTGAAGTACGATACCTGTGGTGCTCGTTGCGTGTGCTGTAGGTAACTCATTTGTGGAAGTTTGATGCCTAGCAAGCTCCATCGCAGAGCCATTGCTGAACCAGTGTGATTATTTGGAGAATCGCTCGCACCACAGGAGAGTCAAACGGCTTCAGAAGTTCCGTGACCACTGGCATTACAGTTCGTGCAAGGGTTCCCAGTGAGGATATCAGGCTGGGCTGTTCGTTGCCGGTCGCGCTTCGGGAGGTTTTACGGTTGTTGGCTGTGATTGTGCTTGAGCAGAGGCAGTGCGGAGCGCATGACTGTATGAATTCTGCTGTGCTGTGCGCTGCGATAAATGTTGGGATGTGCCTTGCTCTCTAATGCTATTTGGAGGCTCCACGCGCTGTTCTCTCGATGCACCTTGTTCCCGAGAGACTGATTCAGGGTTTGATGATGCACGCCGTGCAGGGTGCGAACTCCGTGTTTCACTCTGGGATGCGTTGCTCTGCTCGGGGGGGAGGTCCTGCGTCTCATCATAAAGGTCACTGAAACGGTTCTGAAGAACGATCAAGTTGTCGTGTTCGATGTTGCGCTGGCCGCGGCTTCGGACGGCAGCTCGGGCAGTTTTGAAGTCTACTTTGTTAATTGTTTTGTACTTGTTTACGGCTCGTTCTTGTTGCCAGATCACACAGTCTTTCGAGATTGCCTCATGTGCGCCCTTGCAGTTCACGCACTTGGCCCTTTCGGCTTCGCATCTTTCGCTCGCGTGGGAGCCAGAGCATCTGGTGCACACCTCGGGGCGAGTGCAAACTGCCTTGACGTGTCCAAACTTGCCACACTTCCTGCACTGCGCTGGTCGATCAACGTATAGTTCGACCTTATGTCGTACTCTGCCCAGAAATACGTGTTCCGGTAGGGTCGCAGAAGCGAAAGTGACGCGAACCGTTTCCGTGTTAGCAAAACGACGCACCTGCGTGATTTTCGTCATGTTCGCGCTTAGGTTCCGAAGCAACACTTTCTCCGAGATGCTTGCGTCAACGTCCCGAATAATGCCCACAGCAGTGTTCGGATTCCGAGGCTCGTATGCCCGCACTGCAATGCCGACGAGCTTCCTGATTCGCAGCAAGGACGCTGTGGATTCTTGATTTCGTGTGTCCACCGCGAGTATGTTCAATCTCTTGTTGCAGCGAATTTCACCAACTTCGGTAGGGGCGTGACTATTTAGAGCCTCCGTGAGCTTCAGGCCGTTGAGCTTGTTCAGAAGTATCGTCGGGTCTTGCGGTGCGAAGATGACCGTCAGACCGAGTGAAACGATGGCTTTCTTTCTGCTTTCCTCATCACTGGCGCTCTCGATCTTGCGCTTCCGTTTGCGTCCTGTCTTCACAGGAATGAAGTCCTCGTCATCCTGGTCCTCTGGGCCTGATGTAGTCATGTCAGAGTCAGAAGTGTCGTTGGAAGTTGAGTTGTCATGATTTCCTTTGCTGCCGTCCACGAGCTTGCCACTTGTCCCTGCTTCCGCAGGTTGTTGACCGTTGTCGAGATGACCGGCTGCCGTTGTGTTCGCACTGGTGTCGTTTTCCGCAATCACAATTGGGGGCGTAGCCATGGCGACGGCAGCCCGAAATTGCGACGCCGGTGAGAGCATGAGTGTGGGAGGCCGGAGGATACCCTCCGTCCTCCCTGGGGCTGATCGTGGGAGCAGTCGCTGTTCCGTTGGTCGTCTTGTGGTGTCGGCGAGGGATGTCTACTTCCCAGGCTTGTGTTTGCGAGCAGTTGATCTGGGCGAACAACGACGGTCAGGGAGCCACCCGAAAAATTATCAAGAGAGCGGCGGTCCGAAGGCGGGATGCCGTGAAAGGCGATCTCGATCCGAACTAGCGCAAAGCTTGCCGGCGATGTCTCCCCGTTCTCTATCAAACACTGGTTGAGTATATATAGGGAGTATTCACTAGACGCCATATTTGTGGGTGCTGTTTAGAGCGCATGTTCAGAACGAGCTCACATAAATAGACTGCTAAGACCGGCACTTTTGATGGTGCTGAATACACGTTGCCAAAAAACTGTAGAAGCTCGCCATCAGCACGCGCTCAGCATTCGCGCACACAGCTATAGCCGCCAGTGAATACTCCCCATACCTTTCTAAGAAAATAAGTAATCGTGATGTATCCCATTCCTTTAATGAATACGTTTTCTCACTCACTCCCGGCCCCAGGGACAAGAGAACCTCTTACGAGCCCAGTCACTCGTTTTGAGGTTAGTCTCTCACCGGCGTCCTACTAACCCTAACCGAGTGGACTTTGACCTCGATAGGCGCAGCCTGCGGAGACACAATTTCAAACACCGCTGGCGGCTAAAATATCCTCTCTTTCCGCTGGTTTATTATTACTTTTATTTTGCGTTTTATGGTGTTTGTGTTGTTTCGTAAACATTGAGAAAGCATTCATAGAATAGCCGGCCATGCCTTCACGGCGGCCAACATCTCCATTTTTTTTTGTCATTTAACGAAGAAAGAAAGGAAAGAAGAAGCATTTGACCACATTAAAATTTTTATTTTATTATTATTTTTTTTTAGGGCCCGGGGGGACGCGCGCGACAGAACGAATGCGACTGGAATGTTTGTCTTATTTTACGATGAGTTTTGACGGCGCCGCCCGTTCAGCCGTGTATCAAGACCTTCATATTAGGGGGGGGGGGGGGGGGGGGGCGGTTCCTCTGTGTAAAACGGCGAGGGGGGGGGGGGAGTGTTTATATTTTTTGTGGAGTTATCGTTTTTACTAAACTCTGCTAACATAATATAGATCTTGAGAGCTTTTGTATCGGTTTACCTGCCGGGGATGAACTCTTTGAATTAAAACCTTTCTGGTGACCACGTGCACGCTAGAGGTAAGTATCTAGAAAATTGTAGTGGCAGTATCTTTTCTGAACACCATAACGCAAAAAATTTTGTAGTTCATAGGAAACGGGATTACTCCATTCGCGTGGCAGCGCGCTAGAAATAGAAAAAAGTTTAACTACTGGGGATGAATGTTTGGTGCTATAGCGGCTGTGACAATT